TAAGTCCTCTTCTTCCAGAAAGCTAAGATCTTACCTTTTAAAAATTTAACTTCTCACTCTCTAATTTCCATTTTTTATTAACTCAAAGACATTTTTTAGCAGCACCAACATCGAGAACAAAGAATCAAGTACTGGGGGGGCAAGAACATGAGAACCCTCCTCCATGAAAATCAAGAAGCTTGGTGCATTCGAGCAATGAGCAACAGGATGACCTTAACAACCCGTAGTCTAGTGATAGTTACCTCAGAGTAGAGCTGCCCCCGCAGGTCGAGCCCCTTGTGGTTCCCGTGGGTGTTGATGGCCAACCGACTAAGCTGCTCTGCCGATCTCATTTCAGCCCGGATGAGCCTCGTTAGCCTTCTTTGCGAGGTCTCCCCTATAGGTTGAACCCTTCGCGGCTCCTGCGGGAGGTAGCGGCCTATGGATTGTGCGGATGCCCTTGTTGGTCAAGCCTTTCAAGGCTCTCGTGCGAGTTAGCAACCTATAGCTAGTCGAGCTGCTCCCGTAGGTCGATCTCCCTATGGCTTCTCATAGGAGTTGATGACCAGCGTCTCCGAGGGCTGATGCAGTGCAACCACGGCATCAACTTATCATTTGACATCAAAAGTAAGGACAAAACCTACAAACAAAACAGAAATAGATAACCAGCCCGGACGAGCCTTAGCGATCTGACCCAGACTACCTCCAGCCCGAATTGCAAAGTCTCACTACAGGTTGAGCTTTTATGGCCCTCATGAGAGTTGGAAGCAAGCTGAAAGTGGAACCACCCTCATAGGTCGAGCCCCTTATGGTTCCCATGAGAGTAGGCGACCCGTAGACAGGAGAGCTGCCCCCTTAGGGTGACCCTCCCATGACTCCAATAGAAGCAGACAGTCAGCGGTTCTAGGAGCAGTATGTCATGATCTTGCAAGCACCTTCCCGAGGAAGCCAATCTCAAGTGACGATGTAGAAGTAGCCACATCTAAGGGTACAATAGAATTGACCACTTGCTTAAGCGAATTGGTCAGACCGCACATCGGGTAAATAATATTATGAAGAGTGGACTATGACTCGCTCCTAGAGCCTAAGGGGTAAGGTGTCGAGCTGATAAAAGACCTCAACATCACATGAGACCCGGTCGCCTCTTCGGCATGGGCAAGATCAAGGATAAGGATAGTGGACCGCGAGTCGCTTCCAGAGCCTAAGGGCTAAGGTGCCGAGTTGATAAAAGACCTCGACACCACATGAGACCCGATTGCCTCTTCGGCATGGGCAAGATCAAGGATAAGGAGAGTGGACTGTGAGTCACTCCCAAAGCTTAAGGGCTAAGGTGCCGAGTTGATAAAAGACCTCAGCACCACATAAGACCCAGTTGCCTCTTTTGCATGGGAGAAATAAAAAGCAATTTGCATTCAGCATGAGAAAGAGAGACTAGTTCGCTCTCAGCACCATGACGGATGCAAACTTGTCCGTTCTCTTCACTTCGGTTTCAGGCTCTGTGTCAGACTCATTAGCTACTCTTTTGGGAACCGGTTTAAGTATCACTATGTTGAAGTCTACCTAAGTGGAGCAACCTAATAAAGCATTCACATGGTTAGAACCCCTTCTTGAGGATGGCATGAGGAGCTCCGCTCTTGAGGTAATAGGTCGGGGTACCTACTTCACCTCTCCTCAAGCGGATGAGTCCACTCTCATGCCCTGAAAATCAAGATGGCAAGGTCCTACATAAGGCTACAAATACTTGAACTCTTCCAACTTGAGAAGCAAATTGGACCAACGCTTACGACTACGAGCCCATCAAACAGTCATCCGGGCCAAAAGGAACAATCTACTCCCTTCGACGAGCTGCCCTCAACTCAGGAGTGGGGGGCAATTGATGAGGGCGGATTTGGCCCTCTAGTCACATCGTGACACATGGCATCTTGAAACATTTGGATGACACATGGACACCACCTAAGCGGTGATCTGGAGTCCCAGATTGCGGTTCATCTTCACTCCGGCCTAGCAACCTTGACCACAACTTAGGCCGACTAGGAGCACTTCGTCTAGGACCGATGTGACCTCGATGCGAGGAGCGACCTCCCTCGAGGGCTTACCAACCTGATTGAGGTCTAGGAGGCAACCTGTGAGTTGTGCTCGCTGAAAAATTCAATATGCATATCCCGACACTCCCAAGTTTCTTGGAAGTTGGCCCACGTACCGAGTGTTCTAGAGGATGGTCAATGTGCATGGCAGTTACCTCCGTGGATCTCAGACCGGTTAGGCGACGTCCCGAAAATCTCAGATACAGTGCGTGAAGCCCACGCCAAACAAAGCCTATATAAAGGCACCAACCCCAATGACACAGGGAGGGACGCGCGATTACTTGCTCACTAGCTCTCTCTACACTCAAGTATTCAGCTCGCAACCAAAGTACGATACTAACTTAAGAATTGAAGCGACCTCACCAGGTTAGCCACCCTAGGTCCTCTGACGTTGATTCCTTGCAGGTATCTCTAAAAAGGCAACACAGCTCGGCAATCAACCTAGCTCTGCTAAGTCAGCTCGACATCAGAGCCTTCATCTAGTAGAGATCATATAACTCGGCTCCAGAGTCATCAGCCATCGGGAAGTAGCCAAATGTCCAAAGAGCAGTCATATTGTGCACCATCAGTTAGCATCCGAGCTAGCAGCCAGCGGGGAGCTGCCAAAATGACCATCATCAGATATCTCTCTTTCGTCAATGACCAAGACGGAAAACATGTATAATTACATTTTTACCCTTAGGCGTCATCTGATCAATTTGTAAAATTCCATATATTACTTGGAATATTCCACTTTCCAAAATATTTCATTCATTTTCCTACAATCGTACTTCACTGGAGACAATCATTTATCGCCGTTCTTCACCAGAGACTATTATTCTGTTCATTCTTTGAGAAACCATATCGTTTTTCACCCTCTAAGAATCCAAAACTTTCTTCACTAGAGACTACCACTGTTCTTCACCAAAGACTACCGCTGTTCTTCACCAGAGACAATTTTGTTGTTCGTTCTTTGAGAATCTAGACCGTTCTTCATTGGAGACCACTGTTCTTTCTCTATTATTCACCAAAGACTATTTTGCTATTCATTCTTGAGAATTCAGGCCGTTCTTCACCGGAGACTACCGCCGTTCTTCATCGTTCTTCACCGGAGACCATTTTGTTGTTCATTCTCTGAGACTCTACCGCTGTTCGTTCTCTGACAATCGAAGTATTGATTGATAGACCTGTGCTCATTCTTTGAGAATCCAAAGAGTTCGATTTATGTTATGTGAGTTCATTTTTTGTATTTCTTTCAATAGCTATCATGAGAATCCAAGGAGTTCATCTGAGAATCGAAATACTGATTGACATATCTGTGCTTAATCCAAGGAGTTCAAAAGATATATTTCCTCTTATTAATGCCAATTTTTATATGGGTTATTGTGCTTTATACAACCACACTTTCGGTAGCTATCATTCTTAGAATAGAGAAGGCAATTTATATTTAGAATAGAGAACAACAATTGTTCGCCCATGGACCTCTTTCTGTTGGCTTTAATTTGCTTTAGACGAACAAACCCAGGCCCCTCCCATGCCATCACCCCAATATGCAGGCACAACCAGATCAATATTCAGAAAGAATGGATTAAATCCCACCCATTTGATGAGTTCTGCCCTTGCTAACCTGAATCTGCCCTTGCTAATAAAAATGTTGCTAACTTGAAGCTTTCCCTTTTCTCTCTATTTGTCAAACCAAACAACATTGGTTTTTGAAGCTCATCACCGATTCTTTCTCAGAGAATGAACATAAAATTTGTATTAAACCACTACTCTCTTCTTTTTTCTTTCTCCTATTTCTTTCTCATCAAATGAACACAGATTTGTAACAAACCACCACTCTCTTCTTATCCCACAAAATTTCAATTTTACCCTACTCTCTGCAACTATCCTCAATCTTCAAATCGGATGGTTGCAGGACAGTCGAGTACTCATTTAAAAATCTACAAAAACACTAAATACCGGTAAGACCATTGTGCGTTAAAATGAAAATAGAGAACCCACCTAAGCGAAATCCTTAGTTCGTTCTTCTGGATTCGTTCCTCTTGAGACATAAAAGGGGGCAAAGAGTATAAAATGTAGATAAGGGTTTTTTAGTGAAAATAGATACTCATTAATTTATAAAAGGGTAAACTAGGTATTTTGAAAAAAAGTGGTCTTCGATTTAACGTTTTTGGTCTTGGTCACTAAGAGAAGGGAGGAATATGTCGATTTTTTAATAGGAGTAAGGTTTTTGCTAAAATGAAACTATAAAGGTAAGAGAAGGTTTATATGATTGTCAAAGTATTTATTTTACCCTAAACAATCCCAAGTGTATGAAATGAGTCATGAGTGGTAGGCTGGTAGCCCCCCCCCTAAAACTGCTCTTTACCAAACGAGACCCAATCAGTCCCCCCCCCCCTAAAACTGCTGCCCCCACAATATCCTGTCGTGTACTGAGAACATCTTCTGATCTTAACATCGTCATTTTAGATATTAGTAGGGGTCTGATTTGAACTCTTACCAAACTACCAAACCAATCCTCAATTCCCAATTATAAACATCGAAAGAGACTGAGTTACCACTTACCAAACATGATAATATATTAATGGGTCAGTCATCAGTGGTCATCGCCTATCGGATGGTTGGCCGTTGAGATGTTCCTCGTCCTCCAACAGTAACGAGTACGCCAAATTTTCACTGGAAGTTTTCATTGGGGATATTTTGTTAGGATGTACTCTAATGTATTATATCTCACTTCACTGTCCCATCAAGGTCATCTTCTTGTTGCCACGAGGCTCACAAAGTCGCTCAAGGAAGCATTTGTCGATCAAATCTACCATAATGTGTATCGTGTATTGCCCACGTTGTTTGAATATTTTATATTCCCAGATCGACGACTGCCATCCAACGAGAGGATTAAATAGTCATTAAATTGATATCAGGGGATATTGATCATCCAAAAGCATTTGTAAATTGTAATTTTGATTTCTGAATTCCGACACAGTCACACAGGGTGTGCGTGAGAGAGAGAAACCAGGCACAAAGGAAGAGGAGGGAAAATGAAAGACGAGAAGTCTGTGTAAGTGTGTATAATAAAAAAAGAACAAAAGGAAAATAACAAAATGAAAGCGAAGATACCAAGTACGAGAGCAGCAGCAGCTCTAGCATCAACAGAGAGGAAGAATAAAAAAAAGTGTAATCAGTGAAAAGGAAGAAGACGATGAGAGAGTCACTTGTGATGGATTCTACCAAACGAAGCCCTACATCAATGCCTCCCCGTAGCGGCAGCTTAAAATCATCCTCACCACCACTTCCCTTGGTGATTTCTCTCAACTGTCTCGAGGACTGCAGCTTCGAACAGGAAACCCTCGCTGGCGTTGCCACCGTCGAACACGTCGGTCTCAGCCGCCTTGCCGACGGCCGGATCGAGGCCGCAGCTGCCATTCTCCTCCACTCCCTTGCCTTCCTCCCACGCGCCGCGCAACGCCGCCTCCAGCCATGGCAACTCATTCTCTGCCTTGGCTCCCCGGACCGCTCCGTCGACTCCGGCCTCGCCTCAGATCTTGGCCTGCGCCTCGTCCACGTTGATGCCTCGCGCGCCGAAGAGATTGCTGACACTGTCATGGCTCTCTTCCTCGGCTTGCTTCGTCGTACTCACTTACTTTCTCGTCATGCTTTCTCTGCCTCCGGATGGCTCGGCTCAGTCCAGCCTCTCTGTCGCGGGATGCGACGCTGTCGAGGCCTCGTTCTGGGGATTGTGGGTAGATCCGCGTCAGCAAGGTCGTTGGCCACCAGGAGCTTGGCGTTTAAGATGAGTGTGCTCTATTTCGATGTTCATGAGGTACGCACAATGGGAATAATGCTGCAACTGTTTTAGCGTTTTATATACATCTATAAATAGATCTGGAGTTGTTGAAAGTAAGGTGAATGTTCAAGTGATCAGTGTGACCTTAGATGAGTTTGATCTCTAGAAATTCTTTATATTGCAAATTCAAGCTCATTATTTGGGCATAGTCCGAATGTCAATATTAACTTCGGAGTCCAACTCATTACATGACGCCTGCTTGATATTCTGCTGGTTTTCATGCGTACGAGGAGTGTGACCTAGAAATTCTTTATATTGCAAATTCAAGCTCACTACTCGGGTCTAGTCCGAATGTCAACATTAACTTCTGAGTCCAAGTCATTACATGATGCCTGCTTGATTTTCTTCTGGTTTTCATTCGTATGAGGAGTGAAGATACATGCTGATGATAAGATAAGCTGAAGCACATCTGCAAAAGCGATGCATTTTTCAGTTAGTTATATTACGTTCCAATGCTTTACACCAACGGTATCTTTCTGTTGCAATTATCAGCTTTTAGGTGAAAGTTCGTTTGGTAGGCTTTTTAGGCCCTTCTCAGCTATAATCTAACAAGCTGCTATCAACCAATTCAGTTGTCAATCTAGAAAGTCAAGCTTATCTTTCTCTCCAGATTTTGATTAGGGTCTGGATCTAAAAATTCCCATGGGGAAAAGAAAAAGAATACCAAAATGAGGAGTAAAACTACTGGCTTGCAGTTTCTAATGAAAAATGTTTTTCTATAAGGGTTAAATACCTAAACTCTTCTTTTTTTTGTGTTCAGAATTGATTTTTAACCTGATAATGTAAATTATTGCAGTTTACATTGCCAGGTCTTGAATTTTATTCTTTAAGGTGTTACTTATTTTGCTTTAATTTCTCTTCTGAATTCACTTATATGCAGGGAGCAGGGAAGTCAGGCAGGCCTTCCATAACATTTCCTCCAGCTGCCAGAAGAATGGATACACTCAATGATTTGCTTGCTGCAAGTGACCTTATTTCACTTCATTGTGCACTAACAAATGAAACTGTTCAAATTATCAATGCAGAATGCTTGAAGCATATTAAACCTGGTAAATTTCATATTTATTTTTCAAGGTATCAAATAGAGAAGGAATGTTCTCTAGCTGGCTGGCTGCCGTGATTAACAGCTCATTGGGTAAGGTGATCAGTTGCAATGTTTAGAAAAGTGTAGGTGTGATGTGAGTTCTCAAGACCTCTTGATTTGTGGGGCATAAGTCTCAAAAACATGAGGCATACACAACATTAGTTTCCAACATAAGGAAAACATGGGACTAAAATGAGGAAAACTACACAAATATGCATAAGAAGATTATGCTTGTCTAGGAAGCGCATATAAATGAGTATAATCACATAAATAAGAAGTACTAGAGTATAAGGAGTTTTAGAGGAACTGATAGTATTCTTATAAACCATTTGATGAACTAAAGCTTTAAATGCATGTGCATACACATGTTTTGCACAAAGTGGTCACTTTCAGACTTTAAACTGTCGTCTTACTTTTTCTGCCTGAGATTCTACCATTGCATCAAGCATTAATACATGCATAGATTGAAAAAAAGGGTAAACTCCAATTTTACCTTTCCAATTAAAATTATAAAAAAATATATATTTTTTGATAAATAACATCAATTCCATTAAAATAATGAATAGATACAAGAAAATCCCCTTAGAGGTGCGAGGAGCAGCCTCTCCAAACAGAAAATACACAAACTACAACAGAGAAAACATGAATGTTGAAATTAAAACAATAGTTACAATTGTGCCCAGAACAATGTTTCCCTATTTATCCCTTGTTTTGCCAAGACATCAGCAGAAACATTAGCTGATCTCCCAATCCATTGTACTGTTATAGACATATTTCTTGTCAGCCATTTGAATTTCTTTAACTCATTTTTGTAGCCCCAAGTGACATCCTCCAGATTATTTAACCAGTCCATCGCTGTCTTAGAGTTTCCTTCAATCAGAAGTTGCTCCACTCCCACTTCTTTTGCAAGAAGTATTCCTTGTATTGCAGCTAACAGTTCTGCTCGGATAGAGTTCCCAACTCCTAAAGGGCCAGAGTAGATTAAGACAATCTCTTCAGCCTCATTCCTTAGTACACCTCCCATCCCAGAGGGACCTGGGTTACCTTGGCTACTCCCATCAAAATTCAGCTTCAAAGAACCAAGAGGAGGGGGGACCCAGCTAGTYAYTRCCCTTCCCTTGTAGGAGGAACAGCTTGCTACCAACTTCCAATCCTTCMAACAATCAGTAAAAGTGAAATGGTTAAATAATTCTAGAGTCTTTAACCAATGTAATGACCTGGACATAATGCAGTCCTTTAAGGCTTGACTGCTTCTTCCTTTTTCTTGGAAGATTCTGGTATTCCTTTCTTCCCAGACTGTCTATAACATGCTGCTCACGATCATCTCCACATTTTCCTTCCTCTTTTATGATGGGGCCAAGAGAAGAAAGAAGGGTTAAAGGTTGTGCTTACTTCTGCTGGCATATCCCAACTAKACCYAAACAAAGATAGAAGCCAAGCCTAGAGCTCTGCAGTTATAAAAAAAATATTTTCAATCATGATCTTCTAAGCAAAGATCTAAACCATTAAAATGGAGCCTCAATACCGGCCAATTGGTCTTGAAAATTCAAGTGATGTGCAAAAGTCTCATCTAATCTAGGCCATGGAAATGGAATGGTAGATGAAACTAAATATATGGTCCATTTATTCAAGTGCTGTACCAAATTCAGGTCATTTAACTGATGTGTCAAATTAACCCAAAGGTCTAGGCCATGAAAGTTGTCTCTTAAGATTGGTAAATTGATCTCAATCAACCAAGTGATGTACTAGGATTTGAATGAGTTTGGGCCATCCAACTAAATCAACCCAATAATCTATGCTATCAAAGTGGTCTCTTGAAAGTTTAAAGTATTGAATTATCTATCAAAAAAAAAGTTTAAAGTATTGAATTAATCATGCTCATTCCAAATATGTACCAATGTCAGTTTTCAAGGCGCCAAGGTGAGGCTAGACGACAGCGGGGCGCCTTGTTGCCTAGGGCCTAGGTGATGTTTTTTTTTTTTTTAAATAAAAAAATGAATCCTAAGGTAGTTCCCTAGGTTCCTTAGCAATTAGTAATCAAGGTTCACTAATAAGTATCTATAATTTTCATAAAAAGGTATGGGCTTCATATTCAAATATAGAAAATCAACATATTCATGAGAAGAAATAGAAGAAAGAAATTAAAATTTAGAAAATATAGGGGCTGAGTCCCTGTTTTAAAGTTAAAAAAAAAAGAAAAGAATAATGTGTTTATTGAGCAAAATTTTAAGTTCTACCTAACTTATTGGTTCAGGTTTTTAAGTATTTAGGGTTCAAGACAGCATGCACCAACACGTGTGTTGATTGAACCCTAACAAATAAGAAAATAATAAAAAGAAATTAGTACATAAACCCACAGAATAATATTTTAGTTTAATGATGTTTATTCTATTATTATATTTTCAAAATATTAAGAACACCTAACCCACAGAATGAATATTTAGAACATCCCTTCCATTACTATATTTCTGTAGTTTAGGGATCTCCTTTATCTTTGGCCCCCTTAAGCTACCAGACGCCACCAAGATGATTCCTAATGACTACTCCAACACCTGACCCTCCTGAGATGTTGTCCATGCTGCAACTAGCAAAATTTAATTTCAAGTTAAATGCTGAAGAAGTCCAAGATAGTAATTCTACTCCTTTGAGATGAAAAATTTGCCATGTATTGCCATCTCCCAAGTATGTCATCCATTGAAGGTGAGCTGAACAAACTTAAAATTCTTACATTGACGATGAGCTGAACAAACTTACAATTCTTACCCAATGCATCACTCTTGTTGAAATGTGCTCTAACACTACTTGGATATATGATTCATCTTTGAGAATTCTTGTATTCCTTCCCAAATTGACCATAATATTAATATTGTGATATAAAAAGATAATTTAAGCACTTTCTTTTGAAAATCTAATTAACAGATTTTTTTATTTGGTATCTAAAGAAGGAAGATTTTCTTGCTGCAGGGGCATTTCTTGTGAATACAGGGAGCAGTCAACTGTTGGATGATTGTGCTCTGAAGCAGCTTTTGATTGATGGAACTCTTGCTGGCTGTGCACTGGATGGTGCTGAAGGGCCACAATGGATGGAAGCATGGGTATGGGCATTAACCTTAGGGTATGACTTGATATCTAGGATGTAGGAATTTGTTGTTTGAATACAACTGTAGGTGCCCTTTTTTGCATGATTGCTTTGTCAACTAGGTTTGTGTCTAGCTCCATTTTTGTTTCCTGTCTACATTTTTGTTGGAACCTCTCCTATCATGCTTCTTGGTTTGCTGACCTTGTTCTGGTTATTTACTCCTCCTAACTGCCATGCACATCAGTGATTTAAAAGGCGCACCTCGGGCGCATAGGTGGGGTGCATTTTAGGGTATGTGCCTCGCCTAGGTTAGGTGGAGTATTTTCAAAAGGCGCGCACCTGGTGCACTTAGGCGTGTACCTGGGGTCCTGGTGTGCCTTGCGCTTCAGCCCATGCATGTGCCATTTGAAAATCTGTGCATTTTTTCTGTTTTTTTTTTTTTTTTTTTTTTTTTTTTTTTTCTTTTGTGTGTGTGTTGTGTGTATGTGTGTTTAGCAGCTGGGCCAGCCCCTGGACCCCCAACCAAGCCCCTTGAGGCAAGCCCAAACAAGTCGCTTTGCTCTCTCGCCAAAGCTCCAAAAACCCCATATTTGCTAATGTTGCTCATTCGTCCTAATAAAAGATATTTTTAAAAGACACTAAAGTTATACAACCTTTCTTTTTTTTTATAGGGATTAAGAATTTAAGACCATAATATGGACTTGTTTGGGCTTGCCTCGAGGGGCTTGGTACAAAGGTGGCTCATACAATCAAGAATGCATAATGTTTAACATCACATTAGCTATTTGAAGTAATGCAATTGGGAAAAAAATAGAGTAAGAGCTTGCACTCTTGAATATGTGTTATATGTTATGCCTGATTTTATTTTTAAATTTTCATTTTAAATATGTTCTACATGTTATGTTTATGTATTTTAGTTTTAAATAATAAAATTTTAAAGCATTCATTTTAAAACTTAAGTTTATATTTTTAATTAATAATGCATTTAATATTTTAATAATTTACATTTTTTTTTAATTTTTTTGCCTTTTTTTTTGAATTTTTAGAACTTTTTTGCATTTTTCGCCTTGCTTCAAAAAGGCATGTGCCTTGCCTTGCACCTTGCGCCTTGGGTGCAAAATGGCCCTTGCACTTTGTTTTTTGCACCTTTCGCTTTTAAAACACTGATACACATCTAGTTTCACATCAAAATCTTTCAGTGAATTAAGTCCTGGTTTGTTTAAATAGTGTCAGGTCTTTACTTGAATAATGATTGGATGTAATTACCCCCAAAGAAAATAAGGAAAATAAAAAGCATCTATGATATTTTTAGTTCCAGTAGATGGAAAATTTTTTCTCTTGTTACTTGATGGGTGCTTCTTGGAGAACCTGGGATAGGAAATTGGGAATGCTTTTAGATACTTGAGAGATATACTCCTTGCATACTGAGGCCTGATTCTCCATGCTATGGCTACCAGGGCTGGCATTGCTTCAAGAGAGAAAACTTTGGCTGTCCACAGTAGCTGTCAATAGGGCTCTTTATGTGTAAACATTAGTTCACCCAGCAATGCATCCAACACTGATAATGTTACAAGGAGTCTGTGAGCTTATCTGTCATGTGGGGAGAGCCTTGTTGACAACCCAAGCTATCAAATTTAGATAACAAAATTATTTCTGCTTCAGGGATTGACGTTGATATTTTCTTTGGGATTCCTTAGCTTGATGGTGGAAAGAAAGCTCATGAGTGGTAATCGGGTGGATGAATCACAAGGGTGGATTCGAACCGAGCCGAATATCTAGCTATTTGAGTTTGTCTCACCAAAAAAGTATGAGGCTCGAGCTCGAGCTCGATTCAAGCTAGAGACTTGAGCTTGAGTCAAAAGCTCATAAGCTTGAGCTCGATTGTGAGCCAAATGTTTTATAAAAATAAAAAATTAAGAATTATAAAAACTAATTATTATTATATATATAAAATAAAAAATATTATATATATAAGATTTTTTATTTTTACACGAACTGATCTTTATGGGATCAAGCTCGGCTTGATTAGCAAACGAGCCTATATATTGGGCTCGAGCTCGGCTCGAAGCTCAGTTTACACTGAGCTGAATCAAGCTTTTCACGATCTGAGCTTGAATAGCTCGTGAAAAGCTCAGCTCGTGGCCACCTTTATGAATCAGGAAGTTAGGTTTTTGGCAGCTAATACGACAGTCTTCTTGAGATGGTTGTAAAGGCCTCGTGTGTCACAGTCTTGCCAGTTCAATAGTGGATATAGCTAGCTCTATTATGGAGCTGCTATTCTGTAGTAGATTATGGGATTGGGGGCTATGTGATGTGTTAGTTGTAACAAGTAGTGGGCTTTGCCTTCAGGGCTTGGCTACTTGGGTCATAAGAATTTTTACCTGTAGTGGGTCATTTGTATACTTTCTTCCATCTTGCCTTGTGCTTCTTATTTATGTTTTACTATATTTTAAAATTATTGCTTAAAAATGGCTTTCTTTTGCAACAAATGTCTTGCCAAAGATTTGATGGGAAAGAATGTCTTATCTTGGGGACTTGGGTCATTTGTATACTTTCTTCCATCTTGACACAACCAACAAGTAGCAATCATGTAGTGCTTTAACTTCAGCTTTGTTTGTATTTTTTGGGCTTTCTTTCTTGGGCCCTCACTATATCTATATATATATTGAAAAGTAACAATAAATTCATAAAAAAAAAAGATCACAATAGGAAGGTGATAAGAAACCACCCAATACAGAGTCAGACACTGGACTGTCAAAACACCCACTGAAATCAAAACAAACAACACACTAGACCTCAAACATCCAAAATCCAACAGACTGAAATAAAGGACAACAAAAACACCTTTTGCCCCTAAACCAAAAGACTCCCACACACCTCCACCTTTTCTGGAGCCCGTAAACACTGACAAAGCCCTTTCCTTAATCCTCCTCGAGACCTTCCTCCTGTCCTTCATCTTCTTCGTTCCACGTCTCTCCCCCTCCCCCATTAACCACTTTCTTCAACCTCTCAAACTCCTCAAAGGCTTTACTAGCAAACCCCTCCACCCCCCCCCCAAAAAAAAAAAATCCAAGCTTCTTGCCGATCTCTACATCTCTGTAACAATTTCTTCAATGGGCAAACTTCCTGCCTTTTCCACCTTTTTGTCAGAGTTAGAAACCAACACATCCTTGACAGAATTGGATCCTGCGGCATTATTCCCCTCATCTTGCTGGATGGTCCCCACCTGAGGTTTGTATCTAACAAGAATCTGAGACCCAGTCCCACCTCCATCGTTGACGGTCAGCCCAACGTTTTTTGCGCCTTTTCTCTTTTACACCTTTTCGAAATTCTTTGTAGGTCCTGCCTGCACCAACCAAAGTTTCAGTCGAGAGGACTTTTTTTTTATCAATAACAAAAAGCTTCATTGAATTTCAATTAAGAAAAAGATTACATACAAACAGAGGGAGGTAAACTGTCTTAACTCCCCCACAAGCAGAGAAAAGAAAAGAAACAGAATTAGAAATAAGCCCAGAACAAAGATTCCCTATTCACCCCTTGCTTAGGTAGCCCATCAGCAAAGAAATTTGCAGTTCTCTTCATCCAGCTGTATTTTATCTCAATATCCTTTGCCAACCATTTAAACTGTTTCCTTTCATTGCTGTAATTCCCAGTCCAGAGAAGACTTTAGTAACATGAATTTAGAAATTTCTTGAACCTCGATGTTTCTGGTTGACCATTACCATTCCAGCCTTCACATTGATCTTCTTCCTTCATCCTAGATCCACCCCTAACCTACCAATTACCACTTCTTCAAAATTAAGATAATCATCATTTGATCTCTCTAACTGGTTGCAATCCCTGCAACCCGCAGTATCAACCAACATCCCTTCTTTGCCTTCTTCCAACAGTCTCCCGTCACAACTTCCCCGTCCCTCAACCCAACCCTCACTTCCTTATAGCCTTCCCCTATAGCCTTGACAGACTTCTTGTTAGAGTCAAAGTTGACTTCCTCTACTTCTGAGGCCAACTCAAGCTCACCATCCACTCAACCCCAAAGATTAGGAGTGCAACCTGCAGCAAGATCACTTTGTAAGTTCTGACCTTCAGCAATCATCGACCCAGTGTTTGAAACAATCCTCTTTCCTTTTGAATTGTACTTGAAGTCTCCCAAACCCAGCTTTCTTCCTTACCTTCTTGCTTCTTGCTTGAAATCCTTCTCGAAATCCCAGACTTATTCTTATGTCATTTGAAGTGGCAAAGAAACCTTCTATTAGCCTTTAGCCATGACAATCTAAACAACGTCCTATGTTTATTGCTTTTTACATTCAAGGCGTAGGCCCCATTTGAAACTTCATCTCACCTCCCTTCTCAAACCACCCTCTCATTTAGATTTCTCCATTTCTTTACCCTGGCCACCCTCTCCTTCTTTTGGCCATCCATGAGTCCCAACATTAAACTCTCCCCCCGCCCCACCTTCTCCCTCATGAAAGGAGCTCCAACTTATTACTTTTCTCGATCAAATTTCAAATTCATATGGACCACAATTCTCATCAGTTCTCAAAAACGTGCAGGCATCACATTTATTGAAATCCATCGAAATGACCCCCAGGAGAGCAGATATTCTCAATTGCCCTTGTCTTCAACCTCAAACCTTCCTCTTTGAACTGCCTGTTCATCTTCCCACCATTTCCAGCAAACGAATGAGAATTCTTGCTCAGTTCCTACCATCTCAAATCTAGATTTTCTACCCATCTCAACAGATACAAACTTTCTACGGCAAGTAAATCGTAGCATTCTCCAACAAATCGAAGAGAATGAGAAGATGGGACCAGATGGATATCATCGACTTCATCTAGAATACAAGTAGCAACAAGACTCCAAGAAATCGTTCTAGAGTCAACAAATCTGAATCTCTCACATACATCCCCTACTGCTTTAAAGGTTTTGAAGCACCACATATGCAAAAGAATTCTTGAAGATGTTTATCCAAACCAAGCTTGTAGAATCCAAATCTCTGATTGCACCAATCAGAGGGTTCCATCACTTGATTCTAAGCTCTGGAAATAATACCTGGTTTTGTTCCTTCCTCAAAATATCACTTGCCTCCATCTCATTTTGAACGTGAAGAGGAAGAAACCGGCATTCTACTTCCTAACCTGAAACGGCTTCCTTGTACACCAAACAGCACCCACCCAGGATTGGAGTTCACAAAATGACCGACCAGGCTTCTATTCAAGACCCGAAGTCGATCACAAGTATCTCTTGCAGTCTTGCCAGATTCACGACCACCTCCATGACTACTGGGTTCAGACATTATAGACTCCAGCTCATCACAGTGGCATGTTTCCACATGCCCGGATTCACTGCTCCTTTCTTTGGAACAAGAGTTAAGAATATGGAGTTCAAACTTTTTACCATGCCATGCTTGCTCCCATGAATATGGAGTTCAAACTTCTTGCCATGCTTTTCTTTGGAACAAGAGTGAAGAATACGGAGTTTCTCACTATATTGCACATCTTCTTTTTTTAATAGATCTCAATTAACATTGAAGGCAACAAAAGTATAAAAAATGAACTTAACTGTGAAGTCACATGGCTGGGGTTCAAATTGAGACTTAAATCACTTGAATTTTAATATTTGATTCAATTAATGAAGAAAATAAAAAAAACATAAAAGTTATCAAAGGAAAAGTGGAGTTTTCAATTACACAAGTTTCATAAATACTTTTATATAACAATAAAGTAGTTTACATTTCTACTCTACACATCCCTCAAACTGTGAAAGTTAACTTGATTCTCTGTATCTTATTCATATGAAATCTGAATTATATATACTTAACTGTAACTCTGGAGTTCATGATAGATAAAGCAACTACATATTTTTAACTAAACAGGACATCATTGAAGTTAAAAGTCTAGTATTTGAATCAAGTACGAAACAATTGAATGAGTTCATGTTCCAGAAACTACATCAAGAAACAATAATGGAACAATTTTTTAAAGTGTTAATTAGATTATAAACATCAATAACCATTCGAGACCATACTCATTGCCATTTGAGTTAACTTTGCCATGACTCAGAGGTTGATGTGAAAATATATTCAATTTCTTCTTGGCATCTCTTTTACTTTTTCCTTTACCCTCTTAGATGCAACATCTTAAGACCTGTAAGGGACTGGGAATGTTTTAGATTCTAGAATATGGTATAGTCTGATAGAAACCTTAAAAAAGAAAATAAATGGCAAAGTCATACCTACTAGACTACTACTTACATACTTTGTTTATTGCATGAATATTAAATCACGCTCTTACCTATCATAGAAGAGTGGTTATTGATTTGAAAGACACCTCAAATATTAATTCTTTCTTTGCATTATTACCTTTTTGTCTGTCCTTGACAGGTTATGAAAGAGCATGTCTGTTGATCTTCATCCTATTTTTATCAGTGATGAATTCCTATTGCTAATAAAAATGAAGCTTTCAAGCTGTAGCATTTTTTAGCCAAAATACATAAATATAAGAGAGATAGAAGGAGAAAAAGTGATTATGGACCAAAAATTCATGAAACTAGAAATATCACAAATCTTCATTACTTTATATTGCACGTATTTAATCCTTTTCTTGAAGTAGGAAAAATAGGAAAGAAAGAATTGAAATTCATCTAATCTATCAAAAAAAATGAAAATCATCTAAGTATTAAAGAAGTTATTATTTCTTTTGTGTAGTTTTTTATTGAAAAAAAAAGAAAGCACAAAACTTATCGATTTGGTTTTTATGGTCCAAATAAATTACTTTAGAGGTAAAAGAGCATCATAAGTTTAAGATATTTGAAACTAAGGTTGTGTTTGGTTGCAGTGCAATCTTATTTGCACTAGTACAAATGTATTGGAGTGCAAATGAAAAGAATGCAAATTCTGGTCTAATTTTATTTCGGGTTTTACTCGGTTCTGTTTCAGGTCTTATGTTATTTCATTTATATTGCAATCAAATAAAATAAGGTAAAATTTGAAATAAAAATAAATCAGAATTTACACTCAAATCATTTGTACTATCTTAAATTTGCATCAGTGAAAATTTATTTGTACTGCAATGAAACACAGCCTAAAGGAAATTAAAAGGCAACAAAAATAGTAAATACTGGGTTTAGAAGTCTGGGTTCTACTAGCTTGTTAGGTTCAAATCCCACCAACCGACATGAATGTTGGATTTAAAGGATTTGAGTCATCAAACATGGGACCAACCATGATTTCTGACATTTTATTATTCTGGGAAATGTTTGAATCTCCAATGAAACAATTTGGTGTGAATTATAGGGTTTTAATAGGAAATGATACTGATTTAACAAGTATGATTGATTTTTCTGGCTGTTTTGTGCTTCAGGTACGAGAAATGCCCAATGTATTGATACTTCCCCGCAGTGCTGATTATAGTGAAGAAGTATGGATGGAGATAAGAGAGAAAGCTATTTCTATATTGCAGACTTTCTTCTTTGATGGGGTTATTCCAAAGAATGTTGTATCTGACGAGGATGATAAAATTAGTGAATCAGGTTATGAAGATGAGCAGTCTGAGATGCAAGACAGGGAGAGTGCTTTGCAGATTAGTGTTGGTGAGCAGATGACAGATGACATTCAATTAAGTCCGGAAAACCGCCAAAAAAGGAGGGGTTTTCAGTCTAAAGAATCCCACAACCAACCTCAAATTTCAGGGCCTTCAGGTTTGTCCCAGCATACTGTCACTCGTTCTGAAGGAAGGCGTAGCAGATCTGGTAAGAAGGGGAAAAAGAGGCATGCCCGTCATAAATCCCAACAAAAGCCAGATGACCCTTCTGCATTAGACAGAGAAAGTAATACTGCTTCACAGAGAGAAGATGATACTGCTATGAGTGGCACGGATCAAGTACCAAGTTCTAGTTCTCGTTTTGCTTCCCCTGAAGATTCAAGGATTAGAAAAAATCCTGTTGAATCTATACAAGAATCAACTTCTGAGCGGCATGTAAAATTGAATATGATGTTAAACAGAAAGTCCGGTGAGCTATTAAAAGATGGATATGTTATAGCATTGCATACCCGAGATCGTTCTGCTTTTTATGTGTCCAGACAAAGAGTCCCTGGTGGTGGGTGGTTCCTGGATACCATGTCTAATGTGACAAAAAGGGATCCTGCAGCACAATTTCTTGTTGTCTTTAGAAACAAGGTGCACGAACAACTTCTCTTTTTGTAGATTGTGACACAGATAATTTTGGTGGATAACTGTGTATATGGATCCATCTTTATTTTTCAGGATACAATTGGATTGCGATCTTTCGTTGCTGGTGGAAAACTATTGCAGGTACTTTCCGATTCTCAATTGGTTTTCTATAGTTTTTAATGATAACTTAGATTGATTAATTCGAGTACTTAACTTCTCATAGTTATGAGCGCACAACTATTATTTGCTTGAATGAAACATTCAGAAACTCTCTCAAGAAGGTGCTTCAGGTTCTGGTGTGAGAAAGCACTTAATTAACCTTGCATTCTGAAGAAATCACTAATAACTCAGTAGAACTCCTCTTTTTCTTCCCCCTCCCTATTTTTTTCCTTTCCATACATGCAATGAGAAATGAAAGATTACATGGGAAAGAATATGCAAGGCTTCCCTTTTAATGAGGTGGAAAGATACTCTCTGGCATGGTGGTGGATCCCCCTAATATTGTGAGGCAGTTTCCAAGTTCCCTTGCACACTGTCCATGATCATGAGGTTGCTGAATCCTAGAAGATAAAAGAATGCCCTTCTTTAACCTTCATTAGGAGGACCTTTTGTAAGGTTGTTATATCCATGAGTACAACTTGTGCACAATATTGATGTAGTTTACCCCTTTGAATCCTTAGATGGGAAGTGATCAATTAGATATGTTAGCAACTAAAATAGACACCACTACAGATTGAGTCTGCAATTACTGTTTTTTTTTTTTTTTGTTTCACTTACACAAAATCTTTAGCAGGTCACAGGTTTCATTACTTCCATTGTTTCTCATTATTAGCTACTTCAGAACCCTGCAATGAGGCTTGTGTAAAAGTTCTCTTACCTTTTCCACCAAAGATTTCACCATGATTGACTGGTAAAAAAGGCTTCCACATGTTGTGCATGAAGGGAAATTATGCTTCACAATATTGATTCTATAACAAGTTGCCGAGAAGAACTATTTGTTCCCTATAGCCAAAGTAATCAGAAATTTCAACTTTAAGGTCAAGAATCCATATGTGATACCACTTTGACTTGAACCAAAATACATCTTTTAAACTCTTGTTTGGGAGTGCTTATTTTTAAACACCTATCGTGGAAAAAAAAACAGTTATTTTAGGCTGGGACCACACCAATAAGCACTTATATGTGTTTGGGAAATAAGCCCAAATATGCGCTTTTCCAGGAAAAAAGTCCATTTTGAAATTTGAATAAGCTCAGAATTTTGGTTTTTTTTTTTCAAGCACTTTTTGAAGAATGCTTGTTTCATTTTTTGACACATCTTGGCCCCCCTGCATAATTTTCAAAATACCTATACTACCCCCATTTGAAAGAAGCGCTTTTTCACCAAACACTCATAAGCGCTTATAGGATAAGCAGTTATTAATAAGCACTTATTTATCCAATAAGCACTCCCAAATGGAGGCTAAACTTTTCTAGAAGTTGGTCACTTAAGCTATTTTCAATTTCCAAAGTTCATGATGAAAATTAAGCTTTGAGTAGATTACTTTTTTATGACAAGGCATTCATGCATTTTTTCTGTAACTAAGGGCCTCAATTGCACTTGATGGTAAAGTTCAAAAAGACTGCTAAGTATTATTTCCTATCATGCAGTCCACATTGTAGTTGCTGAATGTGCATGATTTAGTCAAGAGAAACTTTTTTTAAACAGCAAGGGACATAAGTTTCTGCTAGGGAAAACAACCATCTATTTAAGTCTATGTTATTAATAGAGTATGCTCTTGAACAGTAGGCAGTATCATCTGATTCAAGGATTGGTGATTACGAGTGCTAAAGTGCTGATTGAGATCATTCGAGAATAATTGTGCTTCTAAGTTGTACCAACCTGTAGCTCCAACTTGCTTTTTGATCAATATCATAGCCCCAACTTCCTCATGTATTTTTCCTCTATGTTGGATTTGCATACTGAACCTTAAGTTGTGAGAGAGAGGTCCATTGGTTGTTGCTATAGATATTAACTAGCTGGTACCCCATGTTGATCTTGAGATTAATCATTTTAAAATTGAAAAAAAAAAACACCAATGAACAGAAAACTTTGGTGATGCTTGCAGCTTTATAATGAATAGACTTGGAATTATGATATGTAGGTTGTTTTATTTGACAAGTAATAGGGAAACTTAACAATTTAAATCAAAGAAAAGTGGCATTTGAACAGTCAATATTGAAAAATCAATTGACATGTATAATGATTGATAATTTCTTCGTACTGTCAATAAATATTTTCCATCATTGGTCATGTTTTGAGCTTTTGATGATTTTGGTATCTTTCGGGACTTCGTTCAAAGTCCCTTTCTGAAGATACCATATGGCATGATGTCTGATATTATTTTCGGTTATACCAATAGAATTTTTCATGTCCTGAGGGTGAAACTGCAATTCCTTTCTTCTGCTACAGATAAATAGAAGAATGGAATTTGTGTTTGCAAGTCATAGTTTTGATGTTTGGGAGAGTTGGATGTTGGAAGGTTCTTTATTGGAGGATTGTAGGCTTGTCAACTGTAGAAATCCACTGGTAAGGATCTCTCTCTCCCTCTCTCTCTCTCTCTCTCTCTCTCTCTCTCTCTCTGGTTTCCTATTTATTGAATAATGCATCATCAACATTTGTGGTTATTTAGATTTATAAGTACACTATCATTATGGATTTTTCTTCAATGAAAATCTTTACTTCCAACATTTGGTAGGCCTCATGCACCTATATCTCTGCCTATTACTGCAATATTTTATTGCAGACAGATCTCACTGGAACTGGTTACACTAATGTAATGTGAGGTTAGAAACAGAAGTACCTTCATGCCACTATCTATTTTACTGATTTACTTGTACTTGATAATGTTGTCTTCTACATTCTTAAGGCTGGAAATTTACATAATTAAGTATTAATTATTTTGAGAGGTAGACGACATAGTTTTTTGATTTCATATATTAATGTTTACTAGTTTCATATGATCATGATTTTAGACTCCCAAGAAATTGAAATTCACTGAAAGGCCACTTAAATGTTATTAGAAAGAAACTTTCTGGAAGACTTTTGTTATCATCTACTATTGGAACTTACTTGGTAGTAGTTTTACTGTTTTAGTGTATACCAGTTATCATTCTATCATTTCCCCAAGTTGTGTGAATTTCCAGCCTTTTAGTAATTTCTCATTGTTCCCATGATGCTGTTTGTGAGCTTCTATGAACTTCTGTGAATTAAAAACATTTCTGACAGCCAGTGTTATTAAGACTTGCACCTAGTTACTCCTGGAAATACAATTAAAAGATTATTTATTGATGTTACCAAGTGAATGACGATTGACAACGACTATCCAGTAGAAGTTATCGTTCCTTCTTTCAGGTATTAGAGTATTAGAGAGATATCTAGGTGACATAAGTAAGATTCCATCCTGAATTTTGCTTCTCTTCCACTGAAGTGGGCTATTGTGACAGTTTACATACAGCAGAGCAGAGATCATATGTAGATTACATTACAACTACGGAAATAGTTCAATCAAGCAAGGAATCGATCATGTCTGGACTATCTTAGTATCTTCAGCTTTTCCTCCAAATAATATGAAGCTGTATACTAAACTCTAACAATTTAGAAAACTATGACATAGTATGATTTGCCAAGTCCTTGAATTAAATGACCGTCCATCCCTAAATTTCAAAACTTGCAAAAAAGCTGAACTGGAAGGCTTAGAATTACTGGTTTATAAGTCCATGCTGTTGAGATATGAAAGGTCTTGACTATTGTTTTATATTATTATTGTAGACTGGGAAGTATAAAGGGTATGATGTCTTTTTGATCTGTAATGCTCTCAAATTAGTAGAAGAGGAGAATAGTTGTGGATCTATTCTCTCTCATGTCTTTCTCCCAACTACACTTATCTATGCTTCTTCTCTTTCTTCCTCTTATAATCTGATCGCATAAGAAAAAAACTCATGGCACTACTCAAAATGGTGGAATTAGAAAATTTATGAAACCAGGTAAATACTTCTGTTTCTCCCCAAATTCTGTTTATCCTAATACAGCCTAACTGAAATACAACATTTTTTTCATTGTTTTCTGTAGTTTTGTGTTGGCTCCAGCTTGAACAATGTACTGAAGGCAATTTGAGAAGTTGACAAAGTCAATGATTGGTCTGATTAGGCTTTGAATGAAGTCTAATGATACAGTGTCTAAAATGTCAAGAGAAAAGTGGATAGGAATCAGGGAAATGAGAATTAGGAATTGAATTAAAACAGGTCTAAACAGAATGTGTATGTGGCTTGGTTGAATGGCGTGCAGTGTCTTGGTCATATCAAAATTTTCTAATGATTTTAGGTATTTTCTTGAGGATGATTTGGTGGATTGAAATTAGGATCTCATTGGGCTTTGGATCTATGTTACCTGGATAAGGCAAGAACACTGCTGGATAAGGTATTGGTATGATTTACATTAAAAGTTGAAGTATCCAACACCCCCATAGATGTATCCCGGTATCATAGTTTTGGATCAATTCTAACAGGATTCATGATCATAAGATATAATGCCAGCTACCTATCTGACACAATCCTCGATTATTCGGGCTTGGGACTGGTGGTGTAAGACAAGCTCACATGGAGTTTTTTGATTAATTCCAACAGGTTTAAGATGAAGTTAGGGTTTTGAAAATTTGAAATTTCAAGAGAAATTGGTTAGAAATCTGGGAAACTAAAGTTGGCAATTGAATTATAACAGGACTAAACAGATTCTGTATGGGACTTGGTAGAAGAGCTGGGAGAAATCAATTTTTTTTTAATGATTATATGTGTTTTCTTAAGGATGATTTGTTTGGTGATACTTTTCTTGGTTTGTTATCAGGGTATGTGGTTTACATTCCACGTGATTGTGTTCAGCATGGAATTCTAAGGTTTTCTTCAATGGACATATTTCAGTCACTAACAAACAGCAGCCACAAAAGGAGGCAAGCACAGGAAGCATGCAAGGAAAATAACCTGGATCACTCTTAAGATTTTCTAGGAATTGCTGTTGGATTTTGGGGAAGTTCCATACATACAACTAAGCCTTTGCAGCAGCAATAAGTCAAAATTTCATTTGCCACTATATAATTTAGTCTTTCCCAAATAGCCAATTCTATTTGTGAGTTCAATGACTGAACTGCTGTGCCGTCAAGTGTCAATGAGTTGGGTCAGTCTGGGTCAGGATTCAAGATAGACCTGGCACTGAACCAATAAGGAAATGTGCAGCACCAGTTCTAAATAATCAGGAATATTGATTCTGACCTGACAAGACCTGATTATAATTGACAGCTATATTTATAACCTGTAATTTGAGAAGAAACCTATTTATTTGTTAAGTTGACACGTTTAGATATCATAATATGATAATATTACAAAGTCTATCATGAAAAAAATAGGTATTAGACTAGGGATTTCTTTATGTGTGTGTAGTTTCTTTGGGTCATAATAGGTTTGGAACAACCAAAACCAATCCCGACCTAATTATAATTGGATTGGGTCATGTAATGCAGTCCCTGACCACATAATCAGTTTGATTTGGTTAGGTAGGGTCTGTCTGATGCTTTGACAGCTGTAGAAACTACCCTCATCACATTAACCACTGACATATAGAACAACTTATTACTTAGACATTAAACAACTAACTTCAGTGACTCAAATGCAAAATTGCAAATACAAAGGACTGGAAGAAAGAACATCCTACAACTGAACCCCAAACACTGGAAAGTAAAAGAAAAAATGTAGAATATATTAGTTAAATTACTCGTATACATTCTATCTTCCATTTGTATTCTATGGTCTGCTTTCTTCATGAATGTGTATTGGTTTAGTTTCTGTAGTAGGCTGCAGTTTCCTCTTGACAACTCTTTGACCTTTATTTATGATTGTTAGCAAATATCAAAAGAATGTGCTAGAAGGATGGTAAAATAGAGTAAGGCTCTTAATTGTCAAAAATAAATAAATAAATACATAATAAATGAGCAAGGCTCCATATGGCCCTTATAGCCCTCAGATTGGATATCTCGGTCATTTTCTCCCCATCTTCTTTTCACAGTGCATGGGTTTGTTGCATGTCTACTCTGTTACTTGTTGCTATGTTGTACACAGATCTACTTCTCATTTACCCCTTAGCTGCCTTTATATTTTATGGTTGAGAGTTGCACTTATAATAATGACTTGATATTGCCATTTCCTAATTGCCTTGTCATGAAATTCAGGCTGTTCTAGAAGTTCGAATTGAGATTCTCGCAGCTGTAGGTGAAGAAGATGGAGTCACCCGCTGGCTTGATTAGTGTGTATGTGAGAGTGAGAGGCCTAGTATATTCCTTTATGTTTGTTTCATTTTCCTTATTTTACTATTTGGGGTCTGTTCTCTTGGGCAATTTGTAGAGTGTTCAGTTCTGGTTATGCTAAACCTAAATAGGAGAACCAACCGTCTTGGCATTGTAAACCCTGGTTGTGGGTCTCCATTCCATAGATATCAACTTGAAAGTGTTTCCCTGTTAAAAAAGGAAAATTGCTGCAGCGTGACCAGCCCTGACCTTTTCTTTTGCCTCCCTCAGCCCCCATAGGAATACAATTGCATTGCAGAAATGAAGTTGTGCACTTGACTGTTATACGGATGAAATTATGTTACGGTAACCAGTTTCTAATTTTTAACAGTTCTCCCAGATGTCAGAAAATGTGGAGATTGGTGCAGAATCAAAGAAAAAGAAGGGCCGTTTGGTTGGTAGGCATTGGGGTCTAGAATCGGAATGGCATTCCTGGGCCCATTTGAGGGAATGAGATCTCATTCTAGTTGATTCCAATTCCGATTCTCATTCCTGTCTGAACCAAATAGGCTAAAGACTATGGGAATAGACCATTTCGATTCAGATTCCTATGGATTTTGATCAAACTTACCCAAATATCCCATATAAATTTGCTACCACTGATTTGGTTATTAATGACCCGTCAATTTAGAGCATTCTTTTATTTTGGATGCCTTAAAGTGGTGGCTAGTGGAGAAAGAGAAATTATTCATGCCAAGGGTCAATGCATTTAGTTCAGACTGATGTCTGGCTTGCATGAACTATGAATTATGAATTATGAACTATAAATTATGAGTTGATACGACTGTTTAGATATTGATTTCTTTATTACTCCATTTTCATTCTACTTGGTTGATTTTGTAGTAGGCAGGTTTGGAGGCTGGAGCAGAAAGAAATTCGTCTCATTAAATTGGTACCTGGAATGCATGGCCAACGGCAGCCAATTTATGTGCTGCCAACTTGCCATATTGCTTCATGATATTTATCACAAGCAATGGCGCCCTCAAACCCAAAGTTAGGAATTAGGTCGGGTTATAAATTTGGGGCCTAGAAAATCACGAGTCTGTTCATTTCAGCGACGTTGCCAGGCAGCTCAATTGCTTTTTTAACCCCACAACGGACATGGCCGAGCCTAACAGCTGTTTCACAACACCGCAGCAGACAAGTGTAGAATCTAGAATGCACATGCACCCTACAACTCCATACCACTCGAGCCTAACAAAAGAGTTTGTTTCACGGTGCATGTGCATTCTAGATTCTACACATGTCTGCTGCGGTGTTGTGAAACAGCTGTCCAGTCTGCTCCCTCTTAGCAGTTAGCATTTGAATTGTGAGTTTACCGTCACAGAGCCGGCTGCGATCGTATATTTATGTATGCCACGAAGACAAACCTTCAACAGGGTTCAGCTTGAGCATCTTTTCTAGCCTGCCAGCAATCTTCTTAGACCCCGTTTGGTTTACGCGAATAGGGGTCTGGAATCAGAATCGGAATGTTTGGTTGGGTGGAATTGGAAATTTGGGATTTTGCATTCCTCGTATAGGTGCATAGTAGTTAATAAGACTATTAAAGTATAGAAGGTGTCAAATTAATACTATACGGACGATTGTAATGAATTCATAATCTATTGCACGTATGTGATGAGTTCATAGTTTATCGTAAATCTGTGATGAATTCATATTCGGGACAGGCTGTGAAGAATTTCACTTAGCGTGAATTTGTGATAAAGTTTAGACATGCGCGAATTTAGGACAATTTATAAGATGCGCGCGAATTTGCGGTGAATCCCAAACATGCGTGGATTTGCGATGAACCTGACACCATTACAAAATTACAGAATCATAATAGATTGGGAATAAGTGTCGGTTACACGTGTCTTTAAACTATGTATGCGGGTTTAATGAAAGTACGTCTTCCAAACAATGACGTCACCCACTGTTAGACAGTTATGCCCTTAGTTCTAATTAGATTGATGTACCTTTTGACATTTATTGTAAATGAATAAAGTACATAATTGATTCATGTCATTGTGGTGTACTTCTGTGTAATACCCTTAAACTGGACACTTATGAGACTCGTGTTATTTTAGAATCTTCACAGTCAGATTTGGAGAGATTTATCCTGCCAAAACTGATACTGATGTACCACCAAGTTAGTTGGGGTGGTTTGTCTCAGTTGTTAGAGTGATTTGAAGTATATACAGTGTGAGTTTTATTGAAATCTTGAATTTGACTAAAATTCCAGTATTGCCTTAGACCTTGGATATAGATGGGCAAAATTTGAATATTACACCTGATCCATCGACTCGATTATGATACTGCACTATGTGTTGGATTTGGTTGTTTTGATATGCCAATTAGTGAGATCCTTAGAGGGGGTCAAAACTTAGGTATATTGGGCAGTCTGAGAATTCTTTTGAGTGGGTGATCATAATGATAAGATTAGCCCATTTGTCGGACAAAGTGAATGATCGGGGATGCACTCTCTCTGATGAAAACCTTATTTACCGGTATTTGATTTCAACCGTTGAAATTTGTTTTTGCAAATATATATATATATGGTTTCAAAATGTTTGCAAAAGGTTTTAGATCCTGGGATTTATGTGAGTAGAGAGTGCATCACTGTACCTTGCAGCCGAGGGAGATGTCCTCTCTTGTTGGATAGTGTTTGATCATTATGAGCTGAAAGGTTAAATGTAAAACTATTGAGGATAATACCTGATGGACTAATCTTGCATCTGCCCATAGTCCATGGGTTTTCATAAGGTGGCTGGACCCAATGACCATTTAGTGTAAATGTTGGGCCCATTAAGAGCCCATGGTGATGGACTCAGGGGTTCACTGTCTCCTACAATGAATTCGATCAGGCCTTGTAACAAAGGTTGGGTTGAACCCATGTGGTTGATATATATATCAATGTTTGGGTCCCACGCCACACAAAGAAAGCCAACTGGACAGCATGTTAGAAGGTTAAGTGAGTACATAAACTTAATGGGCATAAAGCTCGATTCGAATTGGGTTTAAGTTAGTTAATTAAAACGAGGCAAGATAGGATTTATAATCTGATTAGGATTAGCTGAAGGATAAGATAAGTCTTATCCACATAAGAGTACAGATCCAAATATCAGATTTGGATTAAAGAACTCTCTCCTAATTGGATTAGGAGGTTGATCTAGAGAAGGCTATAAATAAAGGGGGTGAATTCCTCAGACAATACACAAGACGTTACAACAGTCTGTAGAGTTCTTCCCTGTTCTTGCCGGCCCTACCTAGTTCGATCTCCACTTATGGGAGTGATCAAAAATTGTTCTTGATATCGCTTCTTGGTAGAAAAAGCAATCTGAAGTCATGCTCACCAGCCCTCTACACCATTTTTGCTGAAGAATTCGATTCTTGCTGAAGAGCCGTCCTACTAATTTTGCTTCATCTCACACTGTGTCATCTTTAGTGGAAGCGGTTTTTGGTCTTTTGGTTGGACGTGAACACTTTCATTGGGAGTTACTGTTACTCCGTATCAGGTATATCCCTCTCATTCCTTTTGGTTTCAGATCTGGTCCGGTTTGGTTCAAGATTTATCCTTGAAAAGGCAATTTTCTAAAATAGGGAATGCAATTCCCAAATGGGAGAGAGAATTTTTTTGAAATTTCGCCCAACATTCTTATAGGGTTCGACCATCCATATGATGGATTTCTCATCCCTCCAGTGGTATCAGAGGCAGGTTCAAATCTTGAATCGAATTAAACCTGATCTGGATCTGTGCAAATGGGCAGAAGGTGTTATACTCGATTTGCACAGTTAATATTTTTCTGGGAAATCGGTTCCCAGTTTTTGGGTGAATGATCTGAAATTAAATCTTTATTAAACTGATTAATATTTGGAACTGTTCTTTATATTTTTCTTGGATTTTGGGCTGTTCGTATAGTGGAGATCGAATTCTTTAATTTGCGCAAGAAATCTGCGCACCTACTGATTTGTTCTATGCAATTTTGGTATGTAATTAATTTTATTTTTAATTTTTAGATGGAATGTATAGGAAATCGATTATGATGTAATATTAATAGAAAAATTAGGTTTTCTATTTTATTTCATCCGAAGACAAAGCAGAAAACGCAAGGGAGAGAATTTCGCAGATTCGGCTTCAATAATCTGCAATTTGCAGTTTTGGAAACTGCATACTGTGAACTGATCTTTGTTTTGCAGGGTAGCAGTCTTACGAACAACCCTCTTATTGATTCTTGATTGTCTTGCATCAGTTGCTTAATTTCATATCATCTTCTTGAATTGAATCTTGAATTAAACATCAAACCCTAAACCCATTCGAATCAGATTGGACCAAACTGATTGGACCGAATCTATGGTTCGAAAGGGGCTGCTCTCAGTCCTAAAATTTTCTATATGGGTCGAGGGATTAATGGTTAATTGCAAGATGCAATTCGACCCACATCTATAAAACCCAATTTATCATAAATGCTATATGAACCGAACTACTCTTTGCAGTTCAGCCCATATACCTAGATAATATTAATTGGTTATATTATGAAATTAAATGGGCATTATGTATGGGTTTTACAGTTATTTAATTGATAGGATCAATTATGGATTTCATGCATGTGATGTATGGATGTGTGATGTGCTACGTTCATGGGCCATAAGCACTTGGCCCATGCTTATTCGATAGTGGCTCTTACACACACTATGGCTGAATGCACATCATTGCCATGGTGTCCTTAAGATCATTGGATGATCTCCCTACGTAGTGGGCCCCACACTAGCATCCTCTCCAAGAGGAACCGTGCGGAACCCTAGCATTTTAGGGCCCATCTAAATCTGGCTTTATGAAAGCCAATGGGAGCCACTTTGGTTTGACCTAAATTAAACTAGGGCATAAATATTTGTTCTCTCTTGAAAATATAAGTGCATGTGATAGGGAGATTCATATGATGAATTCTCTAAAGGCCTTCCATCATTAGTATGAAGGTTGATTGTATTGGTGGGTGGGGATGCACCATAAAATTGGGTTATCCATCTGCTAATGCAGTTGGCTGGATTGCTTCATGAGATGATAGGGGCGTCATAGACCGATGTGGGAGGGGCCAATCCTAAAATGGAAGACTCTCTCACGGTACCTTGGCGTTTACGAACATGATGGGTGAGCACTTACTGGACAGAAAGGTTTAACCTAAAATGGTTATGAACCTTGTCTGACAGAGGCCAAAGGGAAAGCTCATAAGATGAGTAGATGAGATCTTTCACAGAAGGTGGTGGGGTTTTGCAGATGAAATAGTTGGCTCCATGCACCCTATGTGGTTTCCCACATTTCCAGAGACACAATTGTCTCTGTCACTGAGATTGGAGGGA